AATTAAATCTTATTAAAGTAAAATCTGTTATTTAAACATTCATGGACAACCTTTCCCTCTTTGGTCATTTGGAGCTATGTCAATTTCCAAATCTTGCTCAACTAGAAAATAATCATGAGGCTGATATCTCTATAGTAGATGATGACCTTTTGAACTCTTTACCTGAGTACATGAACTATAGATAATCAGGACTTCATTGATATAGAAATAACTGACTGGCTGATAAATCCATTTATTGATGACTATTCAAATAAAGGTAACTGTGATGCATGAGGAGTTAATTACTTTAAAAAACAACTTTGCATTAAAGCCCCTCTTCAAAAATTGATACTAGGAATTGGCTACAAAAGGAAATTTCTGAAAGGTATCTAAAGTTATAGGAAGCTATCAAACTTTTCTTCATTGCTTTTCCAACTTCCTATATAGCTGAATGTGGTTTCAATGCAGTTACACAGTTTCTTACTAAACAAAGAAAATGCATGCAAATTACAAAACGAGGTGATCTATGATTACTTCTAAACAGCATGAAACCTAGAGTAAAAGCCGATATATGCTATCAAAGTTTTTATTTTTTGAGCATTTTAATCATTGGCATTTATAATAGAAATGAAACAATATTAAAATTATTTTTGCATTAATACACAAGTACTATCTTGCTATGAAAGATGAATTCAGTATAATATCCAAAATTTAAATTGACAGAGCATTGACAAAGAGTTTGTGCACAAAAGGGATACTGATTGAAAAAAAGGTTGGGAAACAGTGCTCGAAGCTGTTACGTTTAAATAGGTACCTTTATGAGATCGTTAAAAAAGAGCATAGCATGATGAAAAAGATGCCAAGCTTGACGGAAACAAAATTTTATCATCTAAATGTTTATGTTATTATTAAGAGGAAAGATCAAAGTATTTTTTACATTTTTTAATTGTTCCTAGCACGTCTGAAATTTTCATTAAAAATCTTTTTTTGAGTCAGCAAAATTGACAGATAATCAATCATGTCAACCATTTTTTTCCATTTTATAAAAAAAAAAATGAAAATCTCAGTTTCAAATTCTTTTAAAAAAAATAAATACACGATTTTTCTTTCCTCAAAGCCTTGTACTTTTAACTAATATAATCACTAAGCTGAACCTGACTGAATTTCTAGTTTCCATAAAATTAGTTAGAGGGGGGTAATAAATATAAAAAAAAATTTTTTTTCATGCCTTTAAAAAAAAGAAAACATATTTATAATAATTTCCATCATTTGTGAATAGTTGCTGAAAGTTTAAAAAAACCTTGTTTCTCTTTGTATCACTGGAACTAGTAAAATAACATACAATTTTTAGCACATTTTTTTGTATGACGCACATTAATTTGGAAAATCTTGCAAAAATAAAAATAATTGTTGGATGTTAATGAAACTTCCAGAAACTATTCAGATGATCGAAATTATTATAAATGTTTTTTTTTTATTAAAGTCATGGCAGAAATAATTTTTTTATATTTATTACCCCCCCCCCAACTAATTTTATGAAAACTCTAGAAATTCTATCGCATCAAGTTTAGTGATTACAATAGTTAAAAGTACAAAGCTTTGAGGAATGCAAATCAAGTTTTTTTTTTAATTGGACCCATCCCACCTGAAAATCAGCTCTGAATTGTAACATACAAAACTCAATAAAACAAAGATATTATTTAATTACCAATGCTTTTATTTGCTTTTAGTTGTTTATAAGAATATGGACAATATTTTCTGAAAGCAAAAATTTTTCCCATGAAAAATGAATTTTTAATACAATTTGTTATTTTTCAATTATAATAGATTTTTACATTTAAGCTGTTAAAATATAAAATTAGTTAAAAGCTGTATCAGGTTTCCTAAGTGTCCTTATAAGATAGATCATTTTTAGCGCTTTGTAAATTGAATCATTTTGACTAATCAGATTAAGAAATGTAATTTTGTGTTTATAATCGGGCTGTAATTATAACGCACAGAAGACCAACCAGAATACAATTAAGTTGTGTTATTTGTGTTAAGCATTGTTCTCCGCTGTTAAGGCCTTTACTTTTGCGAAACACGTGTGGAGAAGTTAATTTGATTTTTCAGTTTTAACTGAGAAGGGTACCTACAAGTATCAGTATCATCTTATGAAATTTATATGATCTTATTTTTATATTAATCTCAGTTATGACATTTTTCCATAAATGAAATATCAAAATTAATAATAAAATGAATGGAAATACAAATAACACAGTAAGATGTAATAAATGTACATAAAATTATAGTATTTTATGTACAGTTCTGATAAAATTTCATAAGAAAGGTACCTATAAATTAATTAGATACCTTTCTTATGAAATTTAATCTCACTCTTAACAGTCTTATTTTAATTTCTTTATAATACATTTTCCATAAAGCATCGTAAATGTAAAGGTGAAATCTAAGTACAAAAAAAAAAAAAAAAAATCAGAGCGCTGAAAGTTTTCGTTAAAAATAACGAGGTAAATAATTTGTTCACTTAAATCTAAATAACTTCTTTTCACCTTCCGTAGAACAAATTATGATCACATAATCCATCAATACGTCATTCAAGACCTGCCAAGTGACGCGAAAGGTTATGACCTGCTTTGTTTTATTTTAAAATTACATCTTTTCGGTGCAGAAGAAGTTAACCTTGGTTCAAAATATTTTAAATAAACATTATAATTCCTGATTTTCTTAAAATAAGTTTTGAAAAAATGATAATTGATTTTTAAAAGAATTTCAAAGTGAGATTTTCATTTTTTTTTAAGAAAAAAAACCAAAACAAGATTTTTAATGAAAACTTTGGATGTGCTCAGAACGATTAAAAAAATGTAAAAAAATACCCTAAAAATACTTTGATCTTTCCTCTTAATATGAACATTTAGACGATAAAATTTTGTTTTCATCAAGTTTGGCGTCTTTTTCATCATGCTATGCTCTTTTTTAGCAATCTCAAGGCGGTACCTATCTAAAAAGGAAAATTTTTAAAAAATACTTTGGTCTTTCCTCTTAATAATAACAAAGATTTAGACGATAAAATTTCGATTTTGTCAAGTTTGGTGTCTTTTTCATGAGACTATGCTTTTTTTCCTTTTCTTTTTTTAAAAAAAGCAATCTCATGAAGGTACCTACGAAGAACCTGGTTACAATAAATCGGTCTTGCATTTGATGAAAAACTGGACTGAACAAAATAAAAAGTTTCAATGGCTATGCTTGGAAACATTTAGATAAATTTGCCAATAACCTTTTTAAAATTTATGTATTCACAAGTAAATAATAGTTTTTTTAATTTTTGTCAATAATATAAAATTGTTTTTCCCTTTTAGACTGATTTAGCAGAAGGATATTTAATTGGCATAACTTAGAAGGGATGTTCAAATAGCCATCCATCCTAGTCAGGTGAACAGATTTTTTCCTTAATGTAAAGAACCAAATATAAGGCTTAATTGTTTATGTAGTATCATTATTCTGAAACCACACTGACTTAAAACAAGAGTAGGCTGAAACATACCAACATTTTTACTCTCGTCTTAAAATCTAAGTCAGTGTGATTTCAGAAAATAAATCATTGAATTCCATATTTTTTAGTTTAATGTTACAGTTTATTTTATTTTTTTATGCAATTAAGGAGGGAAAAGACTAGGAGAGAAAAAAAAATCTTTTTTTTTTCATTCAAAGCTTAAAAAAAAAGGGAAATTGTAGAAAAGTGGACACTTAGAAAAATATTTTTACCAAGATTTACTAAAAAAAAATAATTTCAATCATTTGCGAATAAGTTCTGAAAGTTTAATTACAATTCGACAATTATTTGTTTTGCAAGAATTTCCAAATCAGTGTTTTTCACCGGAAAAAAGCGAAAAAATAATCGTAAATTTACGTCGACCGCTGACTCACACACGTAAAAACCAAAAAGGACTAAAAAATTTAATAAGAAATACTTTGGTCTTTCCTCTTAATAATAACAAACATTTTGACGATAAAACTTTGTTTTTATTAAGTTTGGGTCTCTTTTTTGATCATGCTATGTTTTTTGGGTTTTTTTCAGCGAAAAAGTGAAGGTACCTATGGCAACAAATAAATTATTAAAACTTTAAAAGTGCTCTTTTTATAAAACAAAGTTACGGTAAATTTGCTTTTTAAGACCCGCGCTAAATATCTATTAAATTTTTCCAAAATCGTCAGATTTTAGGTTTTTTCATAATTGTTAATTCGAGTTCAGCATGTAAATATGACGATTTGGGAAAATTTTTATAGATATTTAGCGCGGTGTTTAAAAAGCAAATTTACCAAAGTTACTTCCTATTTTTAAAAATGAATAATAGCAATTAGAAAGAGATTTGCTAAATTTTTAAAAGCACCAATCCTGGGAAGTCATAATTCCTCCACAAAGCAATCTCAGTGTATTCCGCAGCGATAGAAAACGTAGGTTCAACGAACCATTACCAACAAATTTTAAAACCGCAAAAGTTAAAAGAGGTGATTAAAGATACATATTTTCTTTTTAAACTTAAATTATGGTTCACCTGCAGATTTATAGAGAACAAGTATAATGTAAAAAGTTTCATGCTTTTAAAACATTCCTGTTATATTGTAACAAGAGTAGAGGCAAAACAACAAACATTTTGAACAGGAATTTTACCTCGCTCAAACGCTTTGACACAAATGAGTCAAATGGAAATACATTTTTTTTTTTTGAAGTTAGTAATTCAATTTAAATTTTATTATTTATTTTAATTAAGTCGTCCGTGGCCGTGTGCCACGTGGACAACAAAAATGACGTACAGCTGTGAAGTAATTTAATTACTTTTTATTTTGAAGATGTTACCTTTTTTTTTCGCTAATTTTTTTTTTTTTACTTAACCAATTTTCACGTGTATTTTTTGCACTTCCGATGCAAAAGAAAGATTCTACAATCGAGGTAAGAGCTAGAAAGGCAGTCCAAAATTTTAAATATGGTCTATTCGTGTAGTCATTTTGTAATTTTATTTTAATCACAAATCCTTAAGAGAAAAAGAAGCTCCACATGAACAACCTTGATCAGCCTGAGGGTTTTTTGTAATGGCGAATGAGCTTCGTATAAGTTCCTCCTCGTAGTCTATCGTAGATCCTTTCAAGAATTCTAACGAATCGACGTCAATTACAACTTTAACGCCATCTCGCTCGAAAAGTCGGTCATCTTCTTTCACTGCAGTGTCCAGATCGAATTTTGTTTGGAAACCCGAGCAACCTCCGCCTTCAACGGACACCCGGAGAAAACAGTGTGGTGAACCCATCTTCTTCATTTTCAAGACACATCGGTCACTTATGATGAGGGAGTCTTCGGTTTTATTGGTGCTATCTAGGTTGCTTGTGGTTGACGAACATTTAATGAATTCACTATGGAAAGCTCTGAGGTTAATGGGTAACGAAGTGAAAGGCTTCACTGCTTGTCGCACAGTGCTTCGTAACACAGCCATTATCATGGCCTTCTGTTTTTGTTTCACTTTTGTTAAGTTGACCTCACTACCGGAAGTTCTTTTAGAGTTATCTACATCTCTATTTTCGCACTTTCTTTTTAAATTTCTTTAAAACGTTTTTATCGAAAGTAAAACGATAGACACAGATATTGTTATCAGTAAAAAAAAACAGCGCAGCTAAATTTTTTTTTTAATATTGTTTTGTATTTGTTTTGTTACACTTAGGTTGTGAAAAAAAAATCAATATTTACAAACAAAAAAACTGAAACTTAAATTTTATTAACGATTTTTAGTTGCAAAAAAACTTTCTCTTTTATACTCTATTAAGTCGCATGTGAATTTCTCGAATAATACTCACATCAAGATCCCTCTTTAAAAACTGACTCATGCATTCGAAACAAAACGAAGAAAAATAGTATAAGAAATTAAATTTATTTCAATTATTTTTTATTTTCAACAAGTTAAGAAACAAATGAAATTATGAAATTTAATCTCCAGAACAAACTACTTTTTTGTATGAAAATGTATTTTAAAAAATATATAATTTGCTTTACTTTGTTCGAATATGACATTCAGTTCTTTCGAAAAAAAATCTTTATTTTCTGCGAAAAATGAAATAGATAGAGGGATCCATCAGCAGATGGACTGACAATACAATATTTACATGTTACAATAAATTCCAAACTGAACTTCCACTTTGGCCCAAATTTATGTTCACCGATTTTCAATTTAACGTGAAAGTCAAATGCAAAAATTGAGCCTATTTTGTACCTTCCTGTTTTGTTGTTTTTTTTTTGTTTTTTTTTTTTACGTGTTAAGTATAAAAACAATTTCTGGTAAACAAATACCGAATTATCTCCCGATGGCTTATAATCTGAATCTCGTTAGGGATATTTACGATGAAAGGGAGATAAATCCATGTTGAGTATGTACTATTGATTGATTTATTTGGATTTTTTACGGTTTATCAACCTTTTGTGTGATACTTAAAGATAAAACATTTTAGATTGTAAGAATAACTCCTTTTTTGCGAGTGAAAATTGCATTAACATTCTTTGAGAATAACAATGATTTTTCCAGATACAAGTTTTACTATTTAATCTATAGCTGGGGTAGGAAATACATTCATAACTCTACCAAGGGTATTTACGAGTAATTGAATGTAACAATCCTGACTCGAATTCGAACTCGGCTCTTTGAATTTTAATTCCAAACTGCTATCAATTACACTACCCATACATCTAGTTTAGTATGTAAAAATTGTTTGAAACTCCTAAACGTAATATACAATATAATAATGACAATCCTAAATGAGCTGTCACAACATAATCAAAAGTAATCTTTTTGATGAAGTTAGTATTAATTACTAGATGTTCCTGATAACATAGATATTTTATTTTGGTACTTTGCAGTTTGTCTAATAAATAACCCACTTAAAAAGATACATTTACAGTGTTCTACTGTTTCAGCATTATTATATTCATCATATGGTATTATTTTTAACATTTATTTGGTGAACACAGAAAATAATAAAAAGAAATGAAAAGAAAAAGAAAAGTAAATGTAATTCTTGTCTGTAACAGGAAAATGAAGACAAACTTATAGATGGGATAAAAAATTAAGGAATTTTTAGTCTATTTCTAAATAAATCTTAAAATATTTGATTTTTCTAAAATTATACCATATTGAAAAACTGCTAAGTTGGTTATATTTTCCACTCATAAAAAGTAAAAAATTATCATTATTTTATAATATTAATATATAAATATTTGGAGTAAAGTTTGATGCTCATGTGAATAAAAATTTACTGTTTTTCACTATGTTAATGGAAAGTACAAACAAGTAATGTTTTGAAGTGATTAAAAAAGTAATTTGATAAATGTTTCATGATGAACGTGCACAAAATGTTCCATTCAAACACATTCTAATGTTGAGAATTATTAGACGTTTTTGGGTGATATTTGATTTTCTAAATAAAAATTGATTGATACTTACATAAGAAAGCAATCAATAGGTGACTTTTATTATAAGCAATGTAATAATCTGATGTAATAATTGTATACTAGCAGAAAAATATATTATTGTTTGGTTAACTGATTACATAAAATACAGTTGTTTTTTTTTTTTTTTAATAAAAATACAGTTTTCACTTGGTTATACTAAATTATGACTTTTTGAAAAATGAAGTAAATAATTATTTTGAAACTTTTAGAAACTTATACATTTCTAATTAACTTTGTTCTAAAATTAATTTACCAGAAATTACATTTAATTTTTAAATATTAAAATCCACCAGATTTCTAATCATTTTTGTGTATAGGAGGTTTGAAGGCTTAAAAATAGTAATATAGTGGACAATGACACTGCTATATACACTGGATTCTGTTTTTTCTCCTAGACCAAAATCAAAGAAAAATTAAAACTTTTAATTCCAATTCTAAATAATGCAGCAAAATAATTATTTTTGTCAAAACAATTGCAAATTCTGAAGCATAAAATAATTTCATAGTAAGTTTGTAAGTTTTTGACATAATAACATCAGACTTGAAGTTCATATCAGCAAAGTAGTAGTTTAATTCTTTTATGTAACACATTTCTTCAGATCATTGGTGGTCATTTCCTGTCCTTTGTAGCTCTTAATAATTTTGTTATCTTTCCTGAAGTTTGCTCTGCTATCCATTAGCCCAAGCTTGCTAAGTTGTTTAATTAGTTAACTATTCTAAAAGTAAATAAAAAAAGAATGTCTACATGGGCAAAAAATAGAGTCTGAACTAATTTATCATATTTACCTGCCCTCAGTTGCACTGTCACAAAAAGCTATCATGAAAAAAATATATTAAAACAATTCAAGGTTTAAAATTTGATAAAATAGGAAATACTTTATCAAATTTTTTAACAAGTGTCATTTTTTGCAATAATAATTGTTAACCTGTATTAATTTTTAAAGAAGTGATTTCAGTAATTCTGTTTTTTCCATAGTAAATGTATTTGTTTATACTTTATTGTTTAAATTCAGCCTCTGTGAATGTTATAAATAAAAAGCTTGAACAACTCTTCTTTGACCTGGAATAAACCATGACAGCACAAGTGTTAAGAATTGAAATTTATTTGGGATTGATAGGAGTAATAATCATGCAAACATGACTGTTAACAACTTGAATCTAATGCCTGCATTACAAAAGATGCTCAAAGCTGAGCTTGTTTATTTTACATTTAAGTTATTCAATATCTGTCTATATCTGTGAGATGAGGTATTATGATTACTGGCATTATTTACATTACTCAGACAATTATCCTCATCTTCATTCAGGTGATTGGAATTTTGAACTGAACCTTTCATTTTGTCCACCAGGGTAAATTGTTCTAGATTCACATGCCATGTCTCTTCCAGATGGCACAGTTATTTCCCTTTAACTCAACTCTACAAATTTTGGTTCACCACTGCTGTGGCCTGGTATTGAACTCACAACTCTTTGGGTCTAGTCACTGGATCTGGAAAATATGAAAACTTAAGGAATCAGCACATGTGCTAGGCTACAAAAAATCTAAGCTGGCTGAGCATAGACATGAAAACTATATGGGAACAAGTAATAAGGAGTGCTAGAGAAAAGCAATGAATAACAACAAAAATTGCAATATAAGCTGTGGTAAAAAATTCAATAATTTACAGAAAAAAATTGCAATTTGAGTACTGATAAAAAAAAATTGTCGCTGAGACATTAGGTTTATAAGTCCCAAAAATTTATACACAGATGTCCTCATGGCCCAGTGGATAAAGATGTTGGTTAGATCCTGTGATTAGACCCAAAGTTCAACAGCAGCAGTGAACGAAAACTTGAAGAGTTGAGTTAAAGGGAATTAACTGAGACTGGCATGTGGAACTAGAACAATCTTTGGTTCAAAATTCTAATTCTACAACGGTTGGAACATGTGGATAACAGTCCGAATAATGCAAATAATGCAAGTTATTCAGTCATTTCAACACACAATTGGATCTACATTATAGTCATGCACAAAAAACTACTAATAAGAATATTATTATACTTCCGATGACTTGTCAAAAACATAAATTACTTGTAACAAATAATATTGATTTTGCATATTTCGATAGTTCGCATTCAAATATTCTTTGTACAAAATATTATTTTTTATATAAATGAGAAAATACATCAAATAAAAATGTTTGTATATAAATTCTTGTTTTGACATTTTTGCTTATCTTCAGAATATTTTCACAAAGTATCATACTAGAAAAAGAAAAATACACTGGTTTGAAAAGAATGTCAGACAAGATAAAAATCTTTATTTAATGAACTTCGTAACATTTTATTGAGCCAGATTATGATTCAATAATACATTTTTTGCAATATAGTAATATTGAATATAGTAATTACTATTTTGTACAGGTGTGTAGTTTTTACTCATTAGTTTACATCACATTAAATTTCAAATTCACAATAATTCATGGATTGGTGCTATTAAGACGGGTTTTCTACTGCTGAATATCTGAAAAAGAAAGTTTACTTATTTGTTGGGTTCATTCATCATTTCTATTGTTGCATAAGTTTAAACTAGGATTCTACTGAAACAGAGAGAAATATCAGTTTGCTACTTGGGAAAGGAGATACTAAGTATACAGTAATGGTTTCAGAAATGTTGCTCCAGAGATGAGAACATTCAAGAGCAGCAAAAGAGACTCCAAAATATTTTCAGCAACACTCAATTGTTGAAAATAACTTACAATGGCTAATTTACATGATACATTGTTACGTGTTGATAATTGTAACAAAGGAAAAAAAAATGACAAACAAATATTTAATTTACTAAAACAGAACATAAAATATATACAGGATAAACAATTGTGGCCTACAAAACAGAAAACACAGAGTTACTGGCGAAGTGTTACGAGGGAGAAGGAAAGGGAATCAAATATCTTTATCACTTTAGGGCTAGTGATAAAGTGTTAAGTGCGAATCTGACAGCCTGCAGGACAGCAGCTAGGTACT